GAGGAGAATATGAGAGGCATGCATTATGCCTCGTGTTTTATTCTAAGTGTTTCTGTTTTGCTATAGTGTTCCTCTTGGTGGTGTAATCTTTCCTTGCTCAGCTCCGAGGGACAGTTGCATCTTACTGTCTATATCAAAGCAGGCTCATCACATAAATGGTTGGAGGCAGAAAGAAAGAAAAGGGATCTTTTCTGTGAGACAGTTTTGCCAGGGGCCATTTCTTCAGACTTCACATAACCTCATTCCAAGAAAAACCAAGCCAAAGAGTTTGAACAGAGGAATAAATGGGAGTAGGAGGCATGAGAGTTTGGTTTCCACTTCTGCCCTACTTTTTCTGTCTGCAGCCCTTCAAGGGGAGCAGGGTAGTATGGGCCATGATGCAAAGGGCCTTTCTGCATAAAATCTGTGTTCCTCTAACGCTCAGCAGCGTGCTGTTTCCTCTGTGTCATGCTCACCCATTAGCATTTTAATGTAGCTTCATATGGCACTGCTCTGCGGATGGATTTGCTTTCTTGCTTTTGTTTATTGTACAAGTGACAAACATGAGGGCATTTTCGTGATATGAAAAAATGCTGTGAAGTTGTGAAAATGAGGTGACTTCTTCTTGCCAAGCCCCAAGAAATGTGAAAGCAAAGATGGCTGTGACAGGAACTGCAAATGTTCCCAATATTAAAATGCTCAGGAGCCTTGATCTGATCAAAATGCGATCTACTGGAGGCCTAAAGACGCACACATGACCTTACACTTCTCTCTGCTAAGTGAGAGCTGGCTATTTTTAGGATGTCTCTCCATCAGGTGTTTTTTGATATGGGAACATGTTCTTCCCTCTGTGGGTTCTGAGCACTGTTTAGGAATCAGATACATGACTACTTTGGGGGCATAATGGAGAGCGCGTAGGCTGTTCTGATCACTTAAAATTATCTTCAGACATTGGAAAGGTTCTGTTTTATGAATCCTTCACTTCTTGAGGTCTGTACATCACTCATTGAGATCTTATATTTACCTAATAGTTCCCAAGTGTTAATTTATGGATTGCATCTGTGACTAGATAATTTCCTCATGAGGGATTTTAAAGTAGAAAGTGACAGCTTGGGGAAAGTGAAGAATAGGAAACTATCTTATAAAAATCATCCATTCCAGATATGCTGGATATTTCTAAGCCCTTTACCTTTTGTTTCACATGTGTGGAAACTTTTTAGGGTGATATAGGCAGTCTAAGTCAAGGAGGGTCAATATACCACTCCAGAGTTCATGACAGACATCATTCATCAAGCACAGCACTCTTCCCTACTGAACTAAAACCCAGCCTCAGAATCCTTCTCAGGATAGTACTGTATACAACCACTACCAGAGATTGATCAGATTCGTGATGCAAGATGAAATATATAACACACCCTTCTGAGTCTGGGCTCAGCCAGTGATGCGGTTCCTCTTCTCAGGGTGCACAGTCAGATACAGCAGGCAACTTTAGCCTGGAAGTATGCGTATCAACTCTTGCCATCGTTCTCTCTTCCCTCTGCCTCCAGAGAAGCATCCCAAGTTTAAGGGGGACACTTTGGGCAGCAAACCTTTGTGTTCTTGTTGGGCCACCTCCTCCTTGGAATTCCTGTGTTCATCAGGAGCTTGCATTGCCTGTTTGGGACAGACGCTCTAATCCTTGACCCAGCCCTGGTGACACAGATACAGTAGGCAGAATTCTGATATAGTCCCATGATTCCTGCCTCCAGTATTCACTTTTTTCTATTCCTGTGATTGAGTTCATGCTATGACAAAGGGAAAAGGATTTGACAGATACAAGGAAAGCCTCCAAGTAAGTTGATTTTGAATTCATCCCAAGGAAGAATAGCATATGTTGGCTGGTCTAATCAGATGAGCTTTGGAAAACCTGGACCCTTCCTGAAGGCAGAAACACATTCTGCTGGTCTTGTTACAGATGCTGGGGGCAGGGTGATTGGGGGACAAGGAGGGGCCAAGAGGTCCAGATTCTTGTCAGCAACACAGAAAGGAATTTAAGGACAGGACACACACAAAGGTCAGTGGAAAGAAAGGAGCCAAAGCACATGTTCTACGAGCAGAGCATATGCAGGCTGAGAAAAAGGTCTTCTGCCCACCAGGTGTTTCCAGCTCAGGATGGCAGCCTTTGTGTGGGGAGGGACCTTGATCATGATCAGGACTTTGCAAAGGTGCAGTTGAGAAAGCGTGCTCTGCCGTACTTTGTATATTTCCCTACCATCTTAATTCTCTTCCCAGGAATGTGATTTTTACAGTTGTAATGAAGCAAGGATTAGTCAGTGGTCAAGATGGCTGCTGGATCTGGTGAAAACCAGTTTTTGCTCACCTCTAGTATAAGGGGGGAGCTGAGATCTGGCTGCTTAATTATGGATGATAAGGTCCTGGTTTTTTTTTTTTTTTTTTTTTGGTAGGAGATAGTAGTGACTTTGTTAATGTTTGCCACATACTGGGTAATCTGCCTAGGCCAAATATTTACCTATCTGTCTCTTTATGCCAGCTATCTAATTATCCTGCATCAGTCTTAAAGCCATGTTGTAAACTGTAAACTACAGAACCATGGGGTGAGATCCCAGGAGAAGCTTAGACCTGCTGAGAGCAGAATCCAGCCAACACTAGCAAGAAAACAGGGACCCAAGTCATATAGTCACAAGAAAATAAATTCCTCCCACAACCTGAAGGAGCTAGGAAGTGAATATATCTCAGCTTCAGAATCCAGATAGAATGTTGAAGACCAACATCTTGTTTTCAGTCTTGTCCAGCTAAAATGTCAGGTTCCTGACCCACGGAAGCAATTTGAGATAATAAATGATTGTTCCATGTTAAGCCACTAAATGTGTGCAGTTTGTTCACTGTAGTAGAAAACTCACTCACTAGGCCAGATACAAATCAGGATATCAGGGTATAGATCTTTTCTGCTACATCTCAAAATCAGCAAGCAAATCATTTTGTTTTGAGACTTATTGCTTTTTCCTATGGGAAAATGAGTGTGTATAATCTGCTTCCTGTATCTGTGGGTTCTATATCTATTGATTAAACCTACCATAGATCAAAAATATTTTTAAAAATTGCATCTGAGAGCTGGCATTGTGGCATAGCAGGTAAAGCTGCTGGTTTGTGTATGGGTGCTGGTCCGTGTCCTGGCTGCTCCACTTCTGATGCATCTCCCTGCTAGTGGCCTGGGAAAAGCAGTGGAAGATTACCCAAGTGCTTGGACCTCTGTCACCCATGTGGGAGATCTGAATGAAACTCCTGGCTCCTGGCTTCGTCCTGGCCCAGCCCAGGCCATTGCAACCCTCTTGGGGAGTGAACCAGTAGGTAGAAGGTCTCTCTGTCTCTCCCTTTCTCTCTGTAACTCATGTAAAATGTAAATCCCTTTCAAAAAATTTGCATCTGTTCTGAATGTGTACCAACATTTTTTTCTTGTCTCTATTTCTTAGACAATAGCCTGTAACAATTATTTACAGAGCATTTACATTGTAATAGGTTTTGTAAATAATCTAGAGTTAAAGTATCTGGGAGGTTGTTGTAGATTATACAAATACTACACTATTCTATATAAAGGATTTGGGCATCCACAGATTTTGGTATTCATGGGGGTCTTGGCACAAATCCCCCATTAATACTGAGAAACAGCTGTGTATTAACAAAAACAAGATGGTGAATATCAGGATAATTAAAGGAACTTCAGGGGAGCAGGGTCTGGATGTAGCAGTTAAGATACCACTTGAGACACATGCATCTCATACTAGCATGCCTAGCTATGAGTCCTGGCTCCACTCCTAATTCCAGCTTCCTGCTAATGCACACTGTAAGAGGCAGGTGTTGACTCAAGTGGTTGGGACTCTAATCCTGGCTTCTACCTGGCCCAATCTCAGCTCTTGCAGGCATCTGGTGAGTAAACCAGCAGCTGAAAGATCTCTTTCTCTACCTTTCAAATAAATAAATAAATAAATAAATAAAATTATGAGAAAGAAATTTGTAAAACATAGATTTCAAAATCGCTTATCACATTTGTAGTTTATATGAAGTCCCAGAGCAGCAGGATCAGGCTTCCCTCCCTTACTTCCATGGGGCAAGCTTTGTGTTAGATGCTGTTGTCCAAACACAAAACTAGGCATGGTCCCTGCCTTAGGAAATACTCAGTGGTGCTATAGGCTGAGCCCTATCTCAGAAGGGCTCTTGCCAGTCCCAGGTCCTTATTTGCAAGGGTGAAAGCTGTTTCCACTTTCTTTTATTCCACTCCCTGCTATTTGTCTCCACAGACACTGGAAACAGCATCTCCCTCACGAAGGGAGGCTGTATTCTTCAAGGCATTTGGTAAAAAGCAAACATTATTAATTATTTAGATTCTGAAATGTCTCAGACAAGAGCCTGTGTCCTCACTGTGCCATTGCTTACGGCCGCCGCATTTACCACACATAAGTGTGTGTTACAGGATTTCTTTACAATGAGTAAAATAGATCCCCTCCTTCTTTTGGAAAGGCTTTTTGGACTCTTGTTTTTGTTTAGGACTTTCATTAATTTATTCTGTAAAACAGGGAATGAAAAAATGAGAAATTTACCTACTTCAAAGGGTGTCTGTGAGGATTAAATAGGCAATACATGAAAAGCTATTGGCATCACAAAACACGTAACAGATGCTTAATAATTCTTACCTATTTGTATTACTTTGCTTTGCCTTACCATATTGAGACAACTGAGGCTGGGTAACTTTAAAAAGAAAAGAGTTTTATTAGCTCACAGTTTTGGAGATTCAGGAGCCCATATTTGATGATGGCCTTCTTGCTGGCAGAGACTGGAGGTGGCTCAGGGTATCACATGGTAAGAGTGTCTGTCTTCTGGTCTCTGCTCCTCTTCTTGTAAATCACTAGTATTCATTCACAAAGACTCCAACCTGATGACCTTATCTAACCCTAATCATCCCCCAGAGTCCCTATTTCAGGCCATCATAGTCAGCTTTTCTTTTCTACCATCTTAATATTTTACAGTGGGGAACCCTTGAGAGCCACACTCAACCCATATCCAAGGCTTTACACCATTATTATTGTAATCACTACTAAATATCTATTATGTGCTCAGTAGTCAGCGTGCAGGACCTTAACAGGAGAAAGCAAAAATCTCTGAGTCTGGCTGCCTATGTCACAATGGAGATTCTTGGGATAAACATCATAAAGGCTGCTGGTCATTTGGGGATGGGTGGGACTTGGGAGCAAGAGTATAAATCCAGGGAGCAAGGCCTGCTGAAACGATTCAGCCATGCTCCATCAGTCAAGAGGAGCTTCATCCAGAGAGGTAAGTAGAGGATGGAGATCATGGTAGCTGAGAGAAGTTGCTATTTTGAGCTTTTTCTGGATTAATGGGGAAGGAGGTGAGGAGAGTTGCACGGATGGTTATAGAGTTTCAGAATACCAGTTGATTATAAAGATAAGGGAGTATTGTGAGGCTGTGGAAGTGGACCAAATTGGAAAGAATTATGGGCCTCATCAGAGTTTCTTCTTTTCTGGGCATACAGAAAGGGCCTATTTAAATCATGTAGTTGCCTGTTTTGTGTTTGCAGTCGACCCTCTGTAATGAGGGCTCTGCATCTGTGGGTTTAACCAATCTCTGATAGAAAGTATTCTACAAAAACATCGTGCCTGTCTTGAACATGTCCATGGCTTATTTTCTTATCATTACTCACTAAAAGTACAGTATAATAACTCTTGGTACAACATTTACATTATATTTGGTTTTGTAAGTAATCTGAGATGATTCAAAGTTCATGGGAGCATGTGCATAGGTTATAAGCAAATATATACCATTTAATGTTAAGGACCTGAGCATCCACAGATTTTGGGATCCATGTGGGAGGGGGAAGTGTCATGGAAACACTCCCCTGTAGATAAGGGGTGAATGTATGCGTATCTGTGCATCCCCATGAATGCATGCATGCTTATGCCACAAAAAGAGGCAGCTTAGCTGACCAATCTACCTTACTGTAGCTTTCAGTGTCCGTGCTAACTGTTCACAGACTACAGGTAAGCTCAACAAGAGCTACTTGTAAAACATTATGTACTCAAGAGACGGAGAGATGTAATAGAGAGAGCTGCAATCCACTAGTTCACTACCCAAATAACTGCAATGGTCCTTGATGGGTCAGGCCAAAGGTAAGATCTAGGAACTGAATCCAGGTCTCCCATGTGGGTGGCAGCAACCCAGCTACTTAAGCTGTCACCACTGCCTCCAGGGGTGTGCATTAGTAGGAAGCTGGAGTCAGGAACCAGAGCTGGGTATCAAACTTGGACATTCTGTTATGGGACACAGATATTTTACTAGTATCTTAACCACTGGCCAAACACCTGCCCCAGGGCTGCCTTTTAAGCCTACAGAGTTTCAGTTTTCCTGCAATATGTCCTGTATGATCTTGTGTTTTACATTTCTAGTGCTTTAAAAAATGTCATCCTTTTCCCAGAGTTCTTCTGATCACTGGGTCAGAAGCACCCGAGTTCCTGTCTTCAGTTGAGATTCAGCCATGCCAGCACTAGAAGTCTAAGAATATCATAATCCCTGAGTGATATAAAGACCTTTGCAAGGAAGATGAGATACCCAGAGGCTGTAAAGGAGAGGTCTGAAGGATTTGACCATGTTCAAATGAAAAGCTTCAGTTCAGCAAAACACCAGAAACAAATTCAAAAGATAAAATACACACCGGAGAAGCCCATTCTCTCGCCACATCTGACAGTTCACAAAGAGCAACTACAGTCTGACTTAAAAAATGAACAAAGTGGTTGGAAAATGGGCAACCAAGAGGCAACTACAATAACAAGAAATAGAAATGCCCATTAACCAACAAGGTGATGTCCATGTTAACTCTTAAAAGAGTGAGGATAGAGGCATAGTAAAAATGAAAATTTGTTGAAGATTACAATGGACTTTTTGGGCCATAAATAAAAACCCTGTTGGCAAGAGATCAGGGTATTATTACCTGTGTGCTTCTGGCAAATAACTGGTGTTCAGAAAACTGAGTAAGTGATTCCACTGCAGGTGAGAAATATAAATTAGGGGGTATCAGCGACACTGGCTCAAACAGCACCTGAGTTTGTGGTCCACAGTGGTCCCAGAGAGTGGAGGCTCCCCTTATGTAATGGGGTCCACCTCTTAACTTCAAACAAGGGAAAATGCCTTAGGGAGTATGTGTTTAACCTAATGGTTAAGAGTCTGTTACAAAAAGATGCCTTTGTCCTACATTGCAGTGCTTGGGTTTGTTACCTGGCTCTGGCTGCTGACTCCAGTTTCCTGCTAACACAGACCCTGGGAGGCATTGATGATGGTCCAAGTGATTGGGTTCCTGCCACCTACGTGAGAGACTGGGATTGAGTTCTGACTCCCAGTTTCAGGCTGTCCCAGTCCCAGCAGTTGCCAGTAATTGGGGAGCTCACTCTGTCTGTCTTGCTCTACTTCTCAAATATAGAAATGAAAATTAATTTAAAAATGAGAAAAATGACTTATTTTGGTGACTTATCCCAGGTCACAGAATTTTTCTGGGCAGACTTTTAGTATTTATTTCATTAAATCTGAGGCTGAATATTTTTTCCTACTTTTTCCTGCCTTGGTGTTTAGTGTTATTATTAGTATTTTTAATCCTTAAACTTCATTACCAGACTATGTATTGGACAGGATATGGACAGTCCTTTCTAATCTCAATCAGGTCTTTCTTTTCTTTAATTCAGAACTTAAAAAATGCCTTTGCTTTTTTTTCTGTCCTCCATTCCCACGTTCCTACTGTGTAAGTCACTGGATATGTTGGACCTTTTCATTTTCCCATGGATATCTATAATCACTCAGTTGTATGAGGGAGTTTTGTACCCTTATGGGACATTTGGCACTGTCTATAGACATGCTGGTGGCATCTAATAGAAAGGGATCAGAGTGGCTGCTAAACATTCCTAAGCCCTGACCTGGGCTCAAAGCTAGGTCCTGATAGATCTATAATTTCAAATGTTTGAAAATGACTATGCAAGAAAGACCAGAACTTCTACTGGAACAATATATAGGTACTTTATCTTATAGGTAATATTTCCTGATACTAATGCTAATGCCAGGAGCATTTGGGAGCATGTATATGAATATTTGAAGCATAAAGTCAGAGAGATATCCTCATGTATTTAGCTTCTAATTTTAAATAATAGATCTTACAATAAATCCTGATTAAACTTTGATTATCTGACATGTTCAGAGTTTGTGCTTTTTGTATGAGTAACATTTTCTAGTTAATGAAAGCTTAACCTCAGAATATTTTTGTTTCAACCTTTGTTTTTTCAAAAAGATGACATTTTCTTTAAATTTTCTATTAAAGAGGCAGAAAGAGAGAATGCCCCAAATCTGCTTGTTCATTCCCCAAATACCTGCAGTGGCCAGGACTAGTTCAGGCCAAAACTGGAAATCAGGAACTCAATCCAGGTCTCCCATGTGCGTGGGAGACCATCACTGCTGCTTCCTGGGGCCTCCATTGGCAGGAAGCTGGAGTCAAAGGCAGAGTCAGGAATTGAACCTTGTGTCCTTTTAAAGGACACAAGCATCTTAACCTCTAGACTAAATGGTTACCCCAGATAGCATTTTCTGATGAGGGTCCTACAATTTCTACAGATAAGGGTCCTACAATTTCTACGGATCATGAAGCAAGTTGAGAACCCTGAATCCTATTATAAATATAGGAGAGGAGTATTTTAGTTATTACCACATTTTCTAGATAGGAGATTGAACTAAAATGATAACTGAACTATGTATCTTTTCAAAAATTGATTTTTTAGAAAAATAAAAGGCAGTATCCAGCACCATTGAGTCCTAGTTCATTAGCATCTGACAAATTTAATTTAGCACCTCAATCACATGTATGTGTCAGTCTTACCATGATGAAGATATTCCAGAAGACTGATGACTTGTTCTCCCTTTATCTTTCTTAATGCCATAAATACACCTATTTGAGCGTTTGCTGTTGTAATTGCTCGCAAATTCATTTGCACAATTTCCTTCACTATTTCATAGAAGCAAAAAATTAATTACTTGATCCCTGTAAGAATAAGCATCCCATCTCCTCCCTTTCTGTACTAAGGCTAATTTAAAGGGAGGAATTTAATTCAATAGAGTCTCATTGTTTACTCAAATTACACATTCATAATGAGATCTCAGTAGGAAAGGATACTGAATGCCACCTTTGAGACTCTGTCAGTACCTTGGGGCAAAAATATGATAGTCTCACCATGTATTCATTAAGACTTCCAAGCTTACAGCCTCTGAATGGTCAAACCTGTAGTTTGAAGGGCTCTTCTTAATTCTAAAGTGCCGTAATGCAGGTTGAGAGGATAACTCAATAGCTTCAGGGGACTGAAATCTCCATCTTCATCATCATAGTGGATTATTTGGGGTTCCATAATTTACAAAACCCATTGATGCTCTACATTTCATAAAGTAATATAAGCTATATAGCAGGGCACAGAAAAATGATTCTCCTGTTTATTTTCATTTTCTGTGGTCATTCTGTGATATCCCCCAATATCCACTCCATAAGGAGTTGAAAACACTAAGATGAAAATACACACCTGTATTTATTTGGAGCAAGTTGTGGATACCAGTTTCTTTTCTTTCATTTACTCTCTGTCTCAGTTCTTTGGGGTAAACCAGGAAAATCCTAAGTGTAATTTATGTATTCTTTAAGAAAATTTTTTAAGAGTTACCATTTGCGGGGCTTGTGCTGTGGCGTAGTGGGTAAAGGCACCTCCTGCAGCGCCAGCATCCCATATGGGAACAGGTTCTAGTCTCGGCTGCTCCTCTTCGATCCAGCTCTCTGCTTTGGCCTGGACGGGCAGTAGAGGATGGCCAAAGTGCTTGGGCCCCTGTACCCATGTGGGAGACACAGAAGAAGCTCCTGGTTCCTGGCCTCAGATCAGCACAGCTCTGGCCATTGCAGCCATTTGGAAAGTGAACCAGTGGATGGAAGACCTCTCTCTCTGTCTCTCCATGTCACTGTCTGTAACTCTACCTCTCAAATAAATAAATAAAATCTTTAAAAAGTTACCATTTTAATTTATAAGGACAGCTATTCTTTTATTAAAAGATGAAATTAACATTTTTTAATTTTCATTTTATTTGAAAGAGCAAGAGAAATATAGAGGTCTTCTGTCCTCTACTCCTCAGATTCCCACAAAAGCTGAAGCTGGGCCAAGCCAAAGCTGGGAGCCTGGAACTCAATTCAGGTCTCCCACATGGATGCACTTGAGCCACCTGCTGCATCCCAGGATGCACAGTAGCGGAAAGCTGAAATTCAAGGAAGAGCTTGGGCTTGTACCCAGACACTAAGTGATACCTTAACTGTTGTACCAAATGCCCACTCCAGTAAGAACAGCTAGCTATTAATTCATAGATTACTCAACTCATGGTCTTGTTGGATATTGCAGAACTGTTTATTCAAGTTAGTTGGTCCATACCACTTTGCTTACTCCTAACCATGGTTCATGAATAATTAAGGTTGGCTTACAAAGATGCTCAGTTGAAACTATTCTGTGTTCATGTTTTATCACTCCATGCAATCCTAAGAGAATGGAAATAGTAATCATGTAAAGAATCTTTTAGTCATCTTTCGATACTCTTTGTGGCTGAAGACAGTATAATCAACAAGCAGTTTTGTTTAGTGTCTCCTGTGGCCTCAATACTGAGTTGGACAATGTGGAAATATGCAAAGCTGATGGATTTTAACATCCTCAGGAACAATTCCCCTATCTAGAGCTCAGCTATCTGGGAAATATAGGAAATTTACCTACATAGAAAATAGTTGAGACATGAGTTAAATATTTGTTTAGTCCAGTAATAGAAGAGTACCTCTATCACTAACTGGAAACTTGTTGACTCATACTTCACTCATCCATTTACCAATCATGACTGTCTACTTTTCAAGTATATGGCATTTCAGGAGCAGTGAGTTGGAAGGTGACAGAAATATCTACTGTAGGCACCACAATGTCTGAAAGCCTTTGCCATAAGAAAGGAGCGTTTTTAAAAACAGGGGTCAGCATTGTGGTGTAGTGAGTTAGGCAGCCACCTGAGATGCTGGCATCCCATATTAGAAGTTAGTTTGAGTTCTGGCTGCTCCACTTCCTATCCAGCTCTCTGCTGATGTGCCTGGGAAAGCAGTGGAAGATGGCTTGAGTACTTGGATGCCTGTCACCCGTGTGGGAGACCTGGTTGGGTTTCCAATCTCCTAGCTTAGGTCTTGCCCAGCCCTAGCTGTCTGTTGTGGCCATTTGGGAAGATCTTTTTTTCTCTCCCTGTCTCTGTCACTCTGCCTTTCAAATAAATAAAATAAATCTTTATACATCAACAAAAAGAAAAATAAATAAAAATTCACAAGGCTCCAGAGTGTAAGAGCAGTAAGTATAAGGACACCCAGTAATAAGGCACAATGCAATAATGATGGCAAAGATGTATTTAACACATTGTGCTTTGTAAGATATAGGTACACAGATAGACTATAAAGGTGACTTAATGTTTACACTCCTAAAGATGCTTGGGCTTAAGGAAGAAGACCTCCAGTTACCTAGAAAAGTCAGCTACTCTGCTGGATTTATGTTTTGGATAGCTGAGGTTTTAACATTGTTGATGAAGCAGGACTAACAGTAGACAGCAAGTGACAGGGTGTCACTAAGTGCTGGGTTGTCTGCCATTGCTTCTGATAGTTTCTGAGAGGAAGTAGAGGAAGTAGGTGACTGATAGCTCTAACAGTGAAAGTGCGTTTAAGAATCTGTGCTAGGCCTTGAATCTGGACTAGACTTTAATTACGTGTTGGGATTGTGCACTGAGTAAACATATAGTCAGTTTTGTTCTTGTCCCTTTATTTCCACCTTATCTTGGAAAATGGTCCAAAGGGATGGGCCACTTGTTGTAGAAATTGTGAATGCGGCAGGTAGTGGTGGCA